GGTAAATTACAAAACATCATGTATGATAATAGAGTAAAACATATATCTAGATAAAGTTTAAGAGTGAGATAGCATAAATGGGAACTTTGATATACAACAGTTAATTAGTTTGCCTAGTTTTAGAGACAATCCTGGTCCTAGCAGTCTTGAACATATGGGACTTTAAACCCAACTGTAAGATTGTTGACATTTATCGTGGTTAAGTTGGGAACGTAGTATCTCATGATCCTTGGATCACAAGATCAAAATGTTACAACTCAAGAACAGATCACCTCCCTTGGAAAATATTTCCATTTATTTAATTTGCATATCATTGATTGATTGAACTTTTCTTAAAAGGTATATAGTATTTGTATTTAATTGGTAGGATCATATCATGGTTCATAACTGTTCACTGTTTGGAAAAAATGTGTAAGTGTCCGGATAACTAAGTCGGTCGAGCCACGGTATGGTATTCCGAGACTCCCAGCTTTGAATCACGGTCAGGCAAAACATTTTTCTCACTGTTGCATTTGGCGCCCAACGTGTTGCCTTGGCTGCATATAGCTCAGAGTTTAATTTACATAGCTCTGTAACCCTGAGAAATCTAATGACAACTAACTTTCAGTATAGCTGGAAAGTAATTGGCATGGCTCAGAACTGTTCACTATTAAGAGAAATTGATGGGCTAGCAGCTTGATGGCTCAGTCGGTAGAGCTATGGCATTGTATTCTGAGGTTCCCGGTTTTTGAGTCCTGGTCACGCTGCACATTTTCTCACCCTGTTACAAAATTACCGATTTGAAGGACAACATATAATTCTAAATATAATATATTCAAACAAATTGGAGTAAAATTATTTACCGGTTCTTTTTATATGCATTAAACATTTTCAATCTTGTTGCTTATAATTATATAAAATTGATTTACTTGTATAAGATATATTGGTGGAGAGACACGATGAGAGCACTTTTTGTTCCTGAAGATATTAAATATTTACAGATGAAGATACAGGATTTTACACCATAGGGATTTGTTAAATTTTAACAAGGGGTAATTACATATTTCAGTGTGTACATGTATTTGGTATTTAACTAGATTTTAGAAAAGAAAATCACTGCAAAGAAATGCCTTTGATATGATATTATATTTATGTGTCATGGTTCAGAACTGTTAACTATTTAGGGGAGAAGATGTTTAAGCCTCTGGATAGCTTAGTTGGCTTCTTACCCTGTGGCATCGAGTTCCGATTAGGCTGCACAATAAATTGTTTGTTTTGTTGCTTTTTTTGTACACCTACTTGACAGTAAAAAAAATCAAAATAATTAAAAGAAATTAAGAGTGGCATGGGTGGGACGTACATCTGACAGTTTGATAAAATGCCAAACCAAATTATGGCGATTGTACGCTAAATATGGGGCAATGAAATTTTTTATTGTTGCATATAAAATTGTTAACACTCCCTTATATTTTATTTCTTTTGTTGTTGTCGCGGTTGAAGACCCAATTCACAAAATAACAACAAAAAGAAAAAAGAACGGGACAAAATAAAAGATACATTATTATTCTACAACTTTGCACTTTAGTTCTGCTTGACCGGGAGACACCACCAAACACCAAAAGTCAAGAAGGCATTCAAAAATTTCCTATTATTTGAAAGTTCAGATTTCAATCTGAGATAGAAATCCTTCTGGTAGATTTCAACGAACCCTTTTTATATTCTCTATTTTTTATATCTTTGTCCTTTGAAAAGCAGAATTGTCCCAAATGTACAATATTTAAATATGGTACTTATCTTCAAGCAATTATTACCATATTACTTTAAGCAATAACTCTACATATTAGTGAATGGGGAGGGAGGGTGTGTCTTTTTTCCTCCTTTTCTAAAATCACTGTACATTAAATTGGACCAAAATTTATCTTTTGTTACATGTTTGCTCAAAATGGGATAAAAAAGTGGATTGCAAAAATATATGTTTTTATTATACAATCTATAGATAGCTTTAAAATGCCATTCCCTGATTGGCAAACAAGCATTGTTTTGTAAAAAAATAACAGGCCAGGAGTTTATTCACTGTTTTTTTTTTCTTCTAAAAACAGATTTTCAGAGTATATTCACCGGTTTGTCTTCTAAAGAATAGATCTTCTGGAAATTCCTAAAAGACGCGAGACTTTGACGTGACGTCACGCCAAGTTTGTTGTTATTTTATTGAAAAAAACGTTGAGTTTGGTGTACATAAGAGTCAAATTAGTCTATATATACCTCGGCTATCGCCTCGGTCAATATTAAATATTTCAGTACATATCACATCATATTCAACAGCTAAAAAGTCCATATTTGTATAATATTATATGTTTCTTATTCTGTCTCTCTTTCATGTTATTGCTACTTGAAACAACCATAAACAAATAATATAACAAAATCGCAGAAATTAGACGCCATAGTTATTCGTATATAATTAAAGATAGCATCTTGACTCTTGATACACCTAAACATTGATATGTCATGCACTAAAGTTGTGGAGTTCTGTAAGTAATTTGAATTTTCAATTTTGTCTTAATGATTTGTTGAGTTGAGTAAACGTTTTGCAACATTTTGTTATCAAAGTTCATGTAATTTTATGACGCGTACATACTTAACCAGATGGAAGAAACTACATAGATCATATTTCAATGGGATTTGTCGGCCATTTTGTGAAACGACCGAAAAATACAAGACGCATTAAATTTATGGCGAATGTTGATTACAAGCAATAATTGAATTTTGAAAATAAGAATATTGGACAAGTTATTTGCCTTACTTTTAAAAAAAAAGTTTATGGTTATAAATTACAATTTTGTATTTTTAGCACTCTTTTTGGCAAAGTTTTCGATAATATGCCCTACGAAAAATGCAAAGTATGGCGATTTTGCACAATTTCAAGCATAAATTCTGAAGAATATTAATATTGTCATAATATTAAATTACATGCTACGAAATAATTGTTATATGCTGAAGATTTAAACTAATTTTCAAAGCTAGTGAGTGTAACTAACTGAAAAGGGAATGCATACTTTGAACGTTATATCTATGTCACAAATTAATTCACTACACTATAAACTTACACTGGAGCTGGTTGTTTTCATTTTTCTAACACGTAGAGGGGAGCTGATTAAAACTCTGAGCAGATAAACGTTTGATGTGATCGGATACCTTAAATGTCTAATCAGATAGGAGCTTGCTGTTATCGAATGTCGTACAGGTCAGACAGATGAGGGGTAGCTGTTATTTGATATGTTACACGCCTTGTTATTAGGCGAAAGCTTGTATGATCCGTTATTTGCACAGACCTTGCTTTTATTGGTCATTTCAAACTATTAATACTTCTGTCCTAACAACAAATGAGCTTTCCAGACACTGTTTTAAAATATTGTAATTTGTCTTTTGATTCTTAGTATGCTAACTTTAATCTCTGTTATTACTGCATTGAATTCAGCATCTGTTTTAACAATCTCTATGAATTCATTTGGCAATTTGACAATTTTAATTGTCCAAGTGCTTTCTTATATGTACAAGTACAAATGTTGCTGCAATGCAGCAATTGAGAAGCTCCGCGCAAAAAATGCGCTCATTACAGATACCTTACCAAATTATTCCTACGCACAGGACTTGTAAACGTTATGTGACATGACTCCACTGTGTTCCGTTTGTGTCATTACTGTAGTCAATAACATAAGGTGATACAAATATCAAAGTCTATTTTTTTATTATTATAACTGTAACAAATATACAATTAGTAACAAAAGGGACTAATAGTATAATATAGTAATATTACATGCATTTTTTTATGTAAAATATAAAAAGGTGGTTTCTTTCAAAACTGATAGAATACTGTTACCTGAATTATAGGTATGAGGAAATTCACTATCATCATGTTCGTGCGAGTCAAAGATATAAAAGCTACTTGACATTGGTGATATATAAAAAGCTATTTTTAATTGATTTATTGGGAAATCAATATACTTTTTTTGCTATATTGCTTTAAAACAATTCATAAACAAAACAATACACCTCATTTTCAAACTGCAGATCAAAGTTTCTGTTGTTATCAATGATGCAATCTATCTATTTTAAGTCTATGCTTAATGAGGGTCCATCTGCCTGTACGGGTACAAAATGAAACTTTCGCTGTCGAGGACGGACCCCGGACAATTTACCAAGCACAAAATGTTGATAATTTACCTCCGTGCAGTACCAATGATGCCAATGTTATTATTAAACATTTACTTTCATTAATATAAATGAGGAATAATTATCAAAAGCAAAATAATTGAAGTCTTATGCCTAAAATCTTCTTAATATTGACCAATTCAATCACTAATAGCATACACGATATGCTGTGAGTAAATGTAATTCAAAATGTAACAAATTATAATTTTCTAGCTATCGAATTCATGTACAGCAGAATTGTTTTCCGGTTCTCATTTATAAATATGACATGCTGCGAATCACCGAAGGGGGAACCAATATAATAATCGGAAGGAATTATTGAATACGAATATATTTTCAGCTGTAAATCGAATGGATTTATTGATAAAATCCCGGCCCATGGACAAAAAAAAAGTAAACACAAATAGCTCCGCGCCTGTTGGCGCGAGCAATAACCAGAGTACATTCTTGAATAGAAAAAGTCACAAACAGAGGTATTTGATATGGGATGATTGCCATTTGCTTTGAAAGTTATTTTGATCGTTTTATGGATTTTAAATACAAAACATTCAGCAATAGACCGTGATGGGAAAGCACAAAATCGTTGCAATTAGTGTTCATCAATACTTGCAGTTAATTAATCAATTTACAGAAACTTTTTTCTGTCAAAAATCAGTAAACTTTACATAAAGGGAGGCCACTCAAGAACTGTATTTTATAACAGGATTATGTCTACACTAATTGCGTCCCTGTAACAGGGTAAATAAATCATAAAAATCATCCAGTTACGACATGCTTGACAAAATGAAATCAGAAAAGAAGTTTTTTTTAAAAAGATATTGATTGATATTGATTAAACTATATAAATCATTACAGACACAAAAAGCATGAATGCATTTCCAATCACTACTGAATGATCAAACTGTACATTTCCTAGAAATAGAATATCGGTACCCAAATATTACAAATATGATTTTATTTTGTGAATTTGTAGTACAACATTATTATCAGGGAGAAACAAAGAATACTCTTTTAGTAAACATGTTATATCTTAAAATATAATTATGAATAAGAGAATGAAACTCAAAATACTTAGGATGAAAAACGAAGCAACAATAACAATAACATTATCAACAAAGAAATAAATTGAATAGCTTTACAAACATATTTTGCGCACTTAGTTACTCATCGTTAGATAGTAAACATATGATTGCATCATACATGTCATATACTGACGTGCATTGTGAGGAAGAGCGCTTGACTTTATATGGCAAAAATTATTACATGAAACCAAACAATGAAATATATAAAATATGTACATCATTAATAAAGATATGGTGATCGAACGGTGAAAGCAAGCAAGCCATTTCTTAGTCCGACAATATCATAAAACCGATAATACAATTCAGAAGTAGGTTTTATCTGCTTTCAATGGGTTCAAATGTAGGTTATGTTGTAGATAAGTGTTTTACTTGTTTGATCAAATTCAATTCACCAATGCGTATTGCAATAACAAAGTAACGCTACTTTCATCTGAAAACATACAACTAGATATAAAAATACTAACACTTACATAAACAAATTTTAAAATGAAATACATATTATAATTTTTCGATTGTATGAATAACTCATATCAAGCTTGCATCATGCTTTAAATGTTTGTTTTTTTAAATACGAAAGAAAAACAATTAAAAATACAAAAAGAACATATGCAACTACTATACAAGTATATTGTCAAAAACACAAGAAAATAAATGACAAAAAAAAACCATAAAAAAATGAAATGGATAAGACGTTTATCATTCAAAATTCTTTGGTATTTTTCTGTAATAATATATTCATAAAGATTAAAAAGGATGCTTAAATGTAACTTACTATTATTTAAAGATTGAGATAATGTTTTGATGCAGTACATTTTTAAGAAGTCATATATGTTAACAACTTGATAGCACTCGTAATTTCTATATAGTTAGGAAAGTAAATGGTATATGAACGATAAAAGTTTACTTTAACCCATAATTATGAGCTATTTACAATAATGATGTCTAAATCAGTAGCAGGATTAAAGCGTTGTGTTGATTTTTTATAAGAACTTAATGATTATACAAAAACGTCTTTCATGTTATGTAATACATACTAAAAACCATTTTACATATACTCAAACGTTCACTGTGCACTTACTTAAGGAATATTTTACAAACAGAAATATCTTTAATCTTACTCGCTCATAAGCAGTTATAAACCTGTATAAAGAATAAATATTTACAAATGCTTTGAACATAGAGACACAAGTTATCTTATCAATGCTAATACAGTTGATACATTCAAGTAATAGAATTTGATATTTTAATAACATTATTAACTTTTTTTTGTAACAATACAGTGTTTATTTTCACTAATTTGAGAATAATTTTGAATATCAAATTAAATTCATAATCTAAGTATGTATACACGCCATTATTGAGTATGGCAATATACATGATGTGTGCGCCTTAATAAAATCTTGAATCTTGACTAATTTTGACTACTAGTCTCACGTATTTTCCCAATTCAATCAACAAATTAAATAACAAATAAACCGCTTTTAGGTATATAAAAACTTTCTCTTTTAAGCAAATATTCGTATGTCTTTTGTTTTGTTGTTGTTGTTTTTTTTTGTCTTGTTTATTTGGTCTATGATTTGTTTTTGTTTGTTTGTTAGTATGAATAAATGTACATTTTACAAATATATCTCAGATTATTTTGATCTTAAATAATTGATTGTAAAAGAACTTACTGGAAAATAAGTATATAAAAACTAATTTTACACTATGCTCATAAAAAATATATAATTCTAATTATTTTTGCTCTTCCCCGATGAAAAAGTAAGTTAAATACTTATCTCTGTTAAAGCATAAATAAGATGTGAACGATGTTATAAAACATTTACATATAATAAAGAACTAAATATTGAAAATAGATATAATAAAAATTGTGGTTATTTTGAAACTATTTACAAAAATTTATCTTTAAAGTAGTTTTATACAAATCACATCTCTTATATTCATTTCTGTTATAAATATGCAAAATACAAATCTAAAACAAGGCATTTACTACCAGTGCATTTTAATATATTGAATATTCAAACGTTCTCGTTAAATGATGACATCAGCAACATAATTTATTTTGTTTGACTTATTTTATTACAGGACAGTATAGCATCATTCTTTTTAAGCGTTTCATAATAATATTATGTGCACACAATAGTATGTTTTACACAACAATGCATAAATATCAGCTCGAGCAGCTATTATTGTCTTCGGACATTTGCATACAAATGATGTATACATCATTAAATAATTTTTATATGTCATCAATTAACAAAAGATTTTTAAGAAAACTTTTATTTTGTCGCATGCACTGCATCATAGGTACAACACTAAATCTTTTTATTTTCGTTTTGTTGCTAAAAATCAGATGTAAAATCTCTATAAAACATTATACTTCTTCCACTTCTGTATCTGTTGCGGTCGACCTAAAAAAGGAAACATAAAACAAAATGTCACGGTTATTTATAAACACAAGTCTTTTGTCTCGTATTGTTATATAATTTGTTCAAAACTAAATAAATCTCACTAAAAAAGTTGTAGTTTGAAGATATCTAATGACAAGCCAAATTATAAAACATTATTACAAACAGTATATAAAAATGAGTAGAAAAATTAATAATACCAAAATAAATCCAATTTACAATTCTGAATTTTCATACTCGGAAGGTAATTCTGTGGACATTTGGCCTTCTGTAAAAATACAATTGTAAACATGAAACCTGCAAAAAGTATTTTAGCTGGTAGTGCCGCTTTTTTATCTTTCCCACTGACATTTAGACAACATGTTTCTTAATGGAACATAATAAATAGTTGAAGCTTCAAGAAAAATAAAAATAATAATAATAATGGTAGAATTAAATAAAATCACAAAATCTATTATCATTATGAAATGATTGAAGGAATGCATGACATTCTATGTTATATTATTCTTGTTTTGTTCTATTTTTGCAATCAAATATTCATCTTATGTTGTCATAAACTACAAATTTTTTATTATTATATACCGCCGCAAGTATCGATTTTTGCAGATGTATGCAAAGATGTATACATCTTGTACCAAAGATGTATTTTCATTATCCTTTTTGCAACAAATATTTTATAATGTAAGTTAATTGTTAACCTTTATTCAGAGCACTTATACTCATAATTATAGTATGTCACTTCGTAATTGTAAAACTTTATTCAGGGCAATTTCCGTTTAGCTTACACGTACTATTGTCATGTAGAAATTTTCGGTATAAGGGTTTTGAACAAATTGACATGAAGAAATACATTGCAAAAAAAAACAAACAAAAAACAGTCAGGCAGAGCTGTGGCTGTCATGGCAATAAAAGCGAAATACATTTTGATATATGTATCGGGGGTACTATTTGTATTTTATAGCAGTTCAAAGAAATGTTTCTTGTTTAACCATTTAGCAAGGTTGTACAAATAACTATGACTCTTTAAGCTCGAGAGTTCTTCATGCGTTTTCCCCTCTAAATATAAAAAAAGATATGGACTTAATACAAATATTTTTCATAAATGTTATCCTTTGATCTCCATAGACGTCAACAATTTTCTTGTGAACACTGTTCAGTGATAAAGAGTCATAATGACCGTATATCTACAATATTAGATACAAACATTTGTCTTTTTGTTTTAAAGAACTTAGAAGTTTATTGCGTCTATTTAAATACAATGACTACATAACAGACATGTAGAACGGAATATTCGTGCAGTAAATTGTAATTCTGTTTTTTTTACTTACTACCTGGCTACGTGTCTTATAATGATAAAAACGTACAGTTACTACAGTGTTGCCTTTAATCAATGTTCATTATGTACGTTTCCGGCCTACATCGAACTCAGAATACGAGGTACATCGATACTAGACGGATGAAAATCATCATGTGTATTTCACAAACAAATTAACGGATTATAACGCTTCGTTTAAGAAGTCGGAAAAAAATTACTTTTTGAAAGGAAAATGCCAAGTCATGTTCCCCTGAACAAAAATACAATTTGGTTAGCATAAGAACAAATAATTAACATACCTAAATTTGTATACATTTCTATTTCGGTAGTAGTGCCCTGTCCTGCCAATGACTCATACCCGGCCTGCATTTCAGTATCTGCAAAATCAAAATTTAAAAACACTTACAAACACTTTCTTAATTTATATGTGTAGCCAATTGTTTTGAAACGGACAATTCTTTTGACAACTTGTGATTATTTTAGTTCATTCTGTACGTTTCCCGCCAAACGTCGAACTTAGAATACGAAGTATAGCTAAACCAAACAGATGAAAGTCACCCAATGTATAATTGTTACAAACAAATAAGCGCAATGAGAATGCTTAGTTTTAGAAGTCTTGAATAAATCACTTTTTGCAAGAAAAATGCAAAATCTTGTTCCTCTGAACAAAAATAACATTTGGTAAGCATACGAATAAAAAAATTACATACCTAAATTTGTATACATTTCTATTTCCGAAGTAGTGCCCTGACCTGCCAATGACTCATTCCCGGCCTGCATTTCAGTATCTGCAAAAGCAAAATTTAGAATCACTAACAAACACTTTCTCAATTTATCAGTGAGGCAAATTGTTTTAAAAACGGACAATTCTTTAGACAACTTGTGATTATTTTAGTTCATTCTGTACGTTTCAGTCAAAAAAGTCAATAACAACAGAAACAAATACAAAGAAAAAAAGACGTATCATTGGAAACAGACAAATGATCAAAAACCGGGCCAAGTACAGGAACCATGACCTTTAAGTTACCACATAGGTATGGTTACTATAAAAAAGAAATTAACTAACAAATACCTTCCGTCATTCTCACTGTGGCCAGAAATTAAAAGAAAAACATCCATTAATAAATGAAACAGATATGACCAGACACAATAACAAATGTACTATTTTGACATTCACGTACAATTCTTCATCATTTTAGCTGCACAAGGCGTTTGCATGTGACAAGTTTTCCTAATGTGCCACAAAAGTTTGCCTATTTATTTCAAAATCCATTCCAATCTTGTATGACAAAATTGATAACCGGATATGACCATCAATGTACTTTTATGAAACTATAAATCTTAAAAATCGTTATGTGACCTTGATAGTTAATATGACCATCTATTCACAATAGTTACGTTTGATGTACACTTGTCACTTCGACGTCTAAACTGGAGGCTTAACTCATAATCGCGTCACATCATCATTATGTCTAACATATTTAGAACGTTTTTCAAAATTCCAATCAATCAGAGATGACTAGACGCGACCATTAATACACAATAATACAGGTTTGATCTTGTTTTTGAGCTGGAGACCGATTTTTACATACGACAGGTCGTCAACAAATACAACACAGATATGCCAAGTTATTTTAGATTCCATCTAAAAACGACATACGTCAGTGTATTTGATGGAAACACAGGTATCGAGAGTTTTGAATATAAGTGAACTTGGGCAGAACTCATATTTGCGTGCGACAAAGCGTCATTATGTTCAACACTTTTATACATGATGATACATTTGTATATTCAAATTAATCCAGGACTGATATAATTTTTGACCTGCACTAACATCAGGGCATGTTTATGAAAAATGTCCTTCAAAAGTGTGACCTCGACCTTTAAGGTACATACCTAGAATTTGAGCGCAACAAATTGTCTCAATGTGCTTCATACTTATACAAAATTATTATAATTTGTTCAAATCCTTCTTTAAATGACGGACGGACGCTATAATGTAAATACCTCCCTATGTCATATCCATCTCTTTACTTATCTCTCTTTAGAATGGGTGATAAGGACGTGGGCGATGCATTAACTAATAGGTCTAAACGTTGTTGTTGGCGTGTTTCGGTGTTGTAACTGGGAATATGTGTTATTTGACATTTTACTTTATCCCATATATATATTCACAAAATCCTCAAATAAATCTTGGATAACTCTTACATTTACGAAGGATTTCACGAAATCTCTTTATATTAAGATATTTTACACGATTTTTGTCACCGTTTCTTTGGAGCATATATTTTTATTGTAGCTGTATTGTAATCAGTTTTCGTTTATTCGTTTTTTAATTTTTTATTATTTATTTTTTATTTGAAATATTTGATCATCGTGCAAAGGTAAAATAATGTCAAGTATCGTAATGTTTTCATTCTGCTATCTGTGTATAATGTATTATTAGCATTAAACAAATTTGACCTTTTGATGAAATATGTGCTAAGTCAGTTCAAGCAATGGACATAGAATTTATAATTACAACTCATTGCAAACATGAGTGACTTTTGCATTGAAAAGATAATTTTGATTAAATATGTTCTAAGTCAGTCCAGGCGATGGACATAGAATAATAACAACTCATTGCAAATATAAGAATAAACCGAAAATACCTAGCGTTGTGTACAGTTTGCTCTCTTTAGACCTGTTTTGCATGTCCAAATACTCGTACCCGGCCTGCATGTTGGTATCTAAAAAAGTCTAATATGCATAAAATTCTAAAATGCATACATAAATGGTCAAAGAGTTTATGATATTAAGATAAGTTTAAGGCCCCAAATTTAAATTAAGAAATCAATAATCGGTCATGCTAGATAATGCATTAGCGCATTATTATTATTTCTAAATCTATTTGCTTAATAATAAATATCATAAATCAGAAAAGTATGTGATTTGATAGTCCTTGATCATTCATTGAACATTTTATTCATCAGATCTAGTTCACATCTATATTTTCTTACTGTGAAATGATTTAAATGATAAATGTTCTATAATAACGTAAAGCTATCAACACCTCATACAAGATGTCCTTTATACCAACATTTTGTGGTATGTTGAATTGTAGGAAAAGATATATTTTTCAGTTACATTTTTGTCAATATAAAGTTGGCAGTCTTTTTATATTTTTTCATTGACAGCATGCACTATTTGATTGGTTTGATGTACCGGTTTGATACTTTGTATTTTAACTGCTTCTTCAGGCTGTGTCAGTCAATTTATTATTATTTAGTTTTGCATTTGTACTGTGTTAATAATTATAAAGATAATAATTTAATATAAAATATAAGAGGTGATCATTATGGGGATATGATTATAAATTATGCAGCAAAAGAATATGTCATTCTTCATTATTAAATTATATTAAACTAATTATTACATATTTGAGGAAAGTTGCATTACATGCTTTTATATCCTAAAAACGCAAGAATAAAAATGCAGGGAAATGCCATTTGTTGAGAGGTTTAAGCTTAACTATTCAGTAGAATAAATTTTCCAAATAAACATTAACATTCTAGACTTCTTACGTGCTTATATGAAACATAACAGAAATATACACACGTTAGATCCATTGAATAGTTGCGATTTAGATGACTCCATCTAGACAATCGACGTAAAATGTGACGTCAGAAAAATTTGTTATAAAACCATAATAGATAATTGTATGTTCTTGCGATAAAGAATATTTTCAAAGTTGTAAATTATTTTCAATTCCTGATAAATTAACTTTAACTCTTCGTGAATTAATTTGAACTCCTCCTGAATTAATTCTTAATCATTATGAATTAATTTTAAGTCATCATGAATAGGTGTTCACTAATCGTGAATGAATGAATTTTAACTCCTTACGAATTAATCTTAACACCCTATGAATTAATTTTAACTCCTCCTGAATTTATTTGAGCTTCTCACGAATTCAATTTATCTCGTCAATAATTATAATAATTAATTAATAATAACTCCTCATGAATTAATTGTTACTCCATGAAAATTGATTTCAACTCCTTATAAACTATCCGTTTTACTGACTATTCAGAAAATGATTTCGAAAGACAGGTAAGAAAACGCTTATGTTAGATATTTTATTATATATATCTTGATTGCGGATAATGTAACGTTATTTATCAATTACACATTTAATGATGTATTTATAACCAGATCTAACAAAGACACTTGAAAAGAGGTGCGTTTTATTACTGTACGTATACATCAAACATAATCATTTACATCAACATGAAGTATAGAATAATGAATCCAATGTAACATAGTTGTAAGTGGTGAAGATAAAGGAATAAAATATCTTAATTGCGTTATATGAGTACAAAGAAAAATAAGTAAACGTGTTGCACCTCGAAGTATTATCATGACTTCTTATCAAAAGTGAAACCGAACAATGATTTCATAATGCATGTTTTGTCAATGTCAACTTGTTGTTGGTAACGAAGCAAAATCTCGACACGATGTAATGACAAATAGACGGTAGTATCATTTAATTTGACAAATAGTGCTATGTACCTTCAATTAAATGTCATTACGTCATCGCTGAAATCTACTTAGGTATTTAATATGCATCGGTGGAAACGGACCTACTGATATTGCCAAATTAAACAACAAAATTTAAGGCCAATGTCATTACTTTCCGAAAACAGTTGAACATCTCCGAGGGCCGTTATCGGCATAACACTGCGGATTGTAGATGCTAAATTTACACCATGCAAGAGGATAAAGTAAACTGCAATAGAAAATACTACAAGTGAATATGTAACATGAGCAGATGCATGCTTGTTCTGGAAAGCTTACCCTTTCCTGTCGGATGTAAGCTTTTGAAAGTAAAATGAGGTAAAACACTATTATAAAGCATTTTCTTTTGTTATGTAGCTATACGGTTTATAATTAATCTATTGTTGGACGAGAGTTTCCTAACCAGCACTTTATATGCCGTCTTTTGTTTTAAGTATCTCGCATGCTATTTACAAACTTTACTTTTAAATACGAACAGTTTATGTGCGATTGTTTTCACTTCAAATCTGCTAATGCAGTATGTTGTGTGTTCGCTTGTAAGTAACAAGAAAAAAGAGGAATAACAAATGTATGGGCTTGCACGATAAATCAACGGAAAGGATAATGTAATATCCTGAGTAATATATATCCTTAGTAATGATACTTACGGTTTTATTTCTTCAATTTTAGGTTCATGAATTTTCCTCTTGTTTGATGGTTCAATCTGCTGTTTGTTACGTATAATAAGAACCACAATAACTGCTATAAGTATCGCACACAATAAACAGCTAATTAAAAGTCCCACGACATGGGCGACGTTTGACTCAGTCGATGGTTTGATTGCTTCTGATACTGGTCTTTCACATGGATCTAGACGAATGCGAAAACAATGAATCAATCGATTAAATAGAATGCATCATAATTGTTCAGTTGGATTTACACGTTGACAAAACAGAAATCCGCCTGCTGAAGGTTTGTTGAAAAACGACTTTTCAGTGCAAACATTAAAATGTTTTTACAAAATTTAAAACTGTCCTAATCACATTAAGAGTGAAGTTGTGAAACTAAACTATTCAAATTTGCTCAAACAATCTTTTTTAAAATATTATATTAGTGGTATGCTGATTTAAAAAGTTATTTTCTTTAAAAAAGATGATCAAATTTTAGAATAAACACGATTTCTGAAAAGTAAACAATGTACAAACACGTTTGAAAGGATTTGTAATGGCCTAGTGATTCAAAATTGTATACTTAACTTTCCTAGGGGATAAAACAAATTTTCAAAATATTGCTATTAAAAAGTTTTTAATACTTAGTAACTAAGATTCGAATCACTTGAAAGAAAACGAATGAACGTTTTATGGACACTTCCTATTTTCTAACAACATAAATCGAAAGTTATCCCTTACAATTCATTTATCACAATTATTACACCAATGTTTGCAGCGTACAAATAATACCTTTTATAATAGTAAGCGTTATATTTCTTGATACAATTCCACCAATTCCATTATGGGCCTTGCAACTATATGTCTGGGAATGATTGATCGAAACGTCTGTCAAATGAAGTTCAATTCTTTTTGCTCCGAATATCTCTTTAAAAAACACAAATCTAACTTTTATTTAGATTATTAATTCATTTTGAGTGCTTTAAGAATGCTTTATAACGTACAAACAAAGAGGGACTCTTTGATCGAATTCTTAATGTCTATCACTTCAAATCAATAACCCCTAATTTTACAGGTTACTGTGCAGAAGGGTTCTACCTAGGTACCTGCTCGTAAAAGAGAGGCCCTAGTGGTCTTCTTAGCTAAATTACTAGGGTGAGTTTAACGCAACAAATAAAAAACCCATACAGAATACCAGCGTAGAAACACGGTCGACATTTTAGACATTTTGGCGGAAATATAAAATAGTAAAAAGCATAAATAGTAAAAAAGTAAAAATAAAAAAAGTATAAATAGCTTTCAATGAAAAGATATTGCATAGAAAACTTTCCTTGCTTAAGAATTAAATTCTTAAATGATACTTGTTTGTTCGCATTAATATTTTCAAAAACATTTAATTGTGTGTTATATACCATCAATTACGCCCGTATGATTGTGCCACGAAATTGTTGATAGGGGATTGCTGTCTACGTCACAGGTCAAATCAACATCTTCACCGAGGTAAACAGTTTTATGTTCATTTTCTGATATCGTTACTATTGGAAAATCTGAAATAATGGAAGAAAATTTAAATAAATAACGAAAAAGGTGTTTCTCCGAATTGACAAAGAATATTTCAAAATAGCATCTTTTGATTTTCTATTCAGATGAGGAATTATAAAATAAATAATCTTTATTAAAGGTTTTGAGGATTTTTTTATAAAAGCTTTAAAGTTCATTTAAGAAAACAAATTCAAACACAAATGACAAAATAAACAATTTAACAAATAACACACATGTAATGTTTAATGTACGTATGAAACTCAATTCAAGGTCAGGAAAACCGCTATTTTTCACTGCACATTTTATTTCCCTCATATTATCATCTTTTGTGAAATTGAACCTCCAGATCTGGAAATAATAGAAACATTGAACTATATTCAAGTATATATTTTCATGTTATTTCACAATAAAATACAAGCAAATCTAACGCGTTGATAATTATTCGAAATGGTTAATATAAACGTTTGTTTTCAGTTGAACGCGTCTGGGAATATGGAGATCAACATGCACTAGTACGCAGTTAAGTTATGAAAATGCCAAAGTGAATATTAAATGTATACTATATACAAATGTTTTGTTATAATTATTCGCAATAGCAAATATATTGCTATCATGTTTTATGTAAGAAATGTGTTTTTTTAAATTTCTTGTACAGTTATATACATGTATATAGCCAGATTTATATTAGAAATTAGAAAAGAAACATGTAATTTCGAATTAATTCTTTGACACAAAAATGATTTCCTATTTGCATAAAGGAATCTCCTCATCAATTATTTTAAGACAATCAATTACAGAACCAAAGAAAATTATACAATAACAAAACATTAAGCCAGATCATGATGATTTATTATCAGTGACAGAGAGAGAGTCAGAGACAAAGAGAGACAGATAGAGAGAGAGGTTAAGTATTTCACGTACCTCTGTAAATATCCACCCGTATGTTTCACTCTCCGGGTCATTCCTTTTATCAACCAACATTCGCTTGACATGTTTAAGTCCACTTAAGTCAATAGAACTTCTAGGATTAGATTCTGTGACTATAAACTTCAATGTCATCATAGTGTCGCCATTTTCTTCATTGTGTTTGAAAATTTCTTCGACAGTAACATTCTTTGGTGGAACTATTGTTTTTGCAAATAAAAGTGATCGGTAAAGATATCAGAAACAGTCATTAGTCATGCTGTTACATAATGAAACCTAATCAATCTATGACGCGGAACTCACTTACCATAAGCTTCTGAAATAAATATAGTGTAAACAAGCACCTACATGTACAGCTTTCATGACAATCAACCAATCAATCAATCAATACCATAAAAGAATAAAAAATCAAAGCATAATTGAAACTTACATAAGACATTTAACTTAGTATTTTCCGTTCCGCATTTAGTCTCACCAATATTGCTGCAACACACTACCTTATTCTGATTATGAAACCGTGTAAAAACTTTTGTTGTCGACGTGGTAATAGTATACAGACCACCCGGCACTGATTCCTTTTTCATTGTTGCATAAGTCTGTTTTTCACTGCCTATACTTAGGTCAGAGCGCAACGGTGGCCTGCAATTCATTGCAATACAATTAACTTCACTTTGTTTTCCTTCTATTACCTCGTTGACAATAACGTCGATCTTGTCTGGTGGAACTAAAATGTAAAAAAATGTTAAAACTAATATAAATATTGAACAGTATCATGTTTTGTGTTTTACATCAATGTCAATGGCATCGGTCTTTCTTGGTTGAAGCTTAACAAACTTTTAAAATGGTGCTTTTTTCATATATTTTGGATAAAAACAATATTGATAACTTTTTTGTTTCATTCTTTGAAAGATAGATAAAGTCCGTTCATATTTCCGTCATATATCATCCGTATTGCCAAGTACCAATTATTAAAACAGATGTGTTGTGATTTTTCTTTCAAATCAACAATGCACATACCTGAAACATACATATTGACAGATGTTGATAATTGTGTTTGCAGTGCTGGATTATTTACCGTACACGTAAAAGTGGTGCCAATGTCAGTTTTACTTGGTATAAAGCTATATCTGATATAGTAATGGGTAACAAGATTTTCATCTGTTTGTGTTTTAGTGACATTTGAAAGCATCTTGCCGTTCTTCCATAGATTAAGGTTTATGGGCTCTGATCCACCCTTAACGAAACATTCTACTGTTACTGATTTATTCAGAAAAGCCAATATACATCCACCAGGCTTACAATATTCTGCGGTTTCAACGCCGAAAAATTTCGGGTCCGATGGTGGTCTGTATTCTGAAATTTCAATGGAATATTACAAAATAAACTTAAAATAATGAAACATGAGTAATACGATCTGATTATCAACTTGTTTACTGATACCAACTCCCCAATATTCAGGTATCCGTTATTATACGTGTTATATGCACATTCTACAAAACTTTCGAAGGCTTTCCTTAAATAAAAATGATAAGACAAAGTGAGAAAACAGCTATAATTATAATATTTTTTTCAATAGTAGGGAATTTAAAAACAGGTTATAATACATCGAAACAGAAGGCTTCAAAAACCTGCCCCCACGCCCCCCTCCCCCCGAAAAAAAAAAGCAAAAACAATAATAACAAAATTTAAAAGGAAATCTGATGGAATACAATATTTTTTCTGCACATTTAATTCATTGCATATAGAATAAAATTTTCAAGCAATCAGAGTAATGTTAGTGACTATGCCTGTAGTATTATAAGATTTTTGTTTGTTTGTTTGTTTCATTTTACGCCTCTTTCTAACAGTATTTCAGTCATATAGGCGGGTAGTTTCCTAACCATCGTTCCTAGAGAGTTACACCAGTACTAGACTACCTTCTCCGCGCTAAACTACCAAAGCATCTCCCGGGGATCGAACCCACGCCAGAGAGGAGTATTATAAGAGCTGTTTTGAGAACTGCACGGTGGTCATTACATATTCCATTTTCATAACGAGTATTATATATATTCATATTACCTATATTCAAATATATCGAATTTGACACTGTGTCACCACAATTTACTCTGTATTCGCCTCTATCGCTATATTTTGCTTTTAAAATATCGAGGGTATGGACCTTTTTCTCTACAGTCACTATAATTGCAGCATTCAGTTTTCTAAAAGTCGACTCGTCTTTCTTTTCAAAAGTTACGTTTTTGCCGGGATCTACAGAGAATTGAAGTGTTACTGAATCTCCTTCTGTGACGTAACTTTTTGTAGTTGTAAGTCTGCCACACTGTTCCTTGCAACCTAATTTAATCATAAAGTTTTGTTCATCTTTTTTCATCAAATATCTCAATAACGTTCATGACGTTAGGGTAAAAGAAAATGCTGTCGCAAAACAGACAATCCTATTTTATAAACACTCTTTATAGCGAAATGGTCTTAACTCAGAGATAGTCTTAAGTAGAGTATCAACTGTTTTTGACAACAAAATGCTCGATTGAATTGACACATAGATGACATTTAATAATTCAGTCATGAAATTAAAGAATACGACATACTTATAATAGTGAAAACAACTTTTTATGATGATATTTTTTATCAAAATTTATCGAAATTTATATTTATCGGCCTTGAGTCTGGGTGTTGAATATGATTATAAATAATGTTCATGTCAGCAGTTCGCTATTATATGACGTTAACATTGTTGGTTTGTGTTATCATAAAAATAGAATAAATTAAATATATTAGAACTTGAAACTTGAAAAAAAAAATATTTACATTTTAATGAAAGTAAAATTACAACAATCAAATTACTCACCATTAGAGTTAGCAAGAACTTCTAGTTTCGAACTGTCAGTATATGAGCCTCCACAGTTTACATAATAAACTCCATTATCTGTTGATTTTACTGCTGATATAGATAAGATGAAACGTTCACCTTGTCTTGCTTCAAAGTATTTGCTTTCATCAGTTAAGGTCTTATGGTTATAAATAGTTACTGTCCGACTGCCCATAGGTCTTATCCACAGGCGCTCTTCCTTTACTGGTGTCTGGCTCGGTGTGTAAATTAAGCGTGCAGTCTGGCATTCCATTACTGTTTGATTTTCGAACTCTAAAGTCCCACATTTGATTAAATCTAAATTTGAATAAGGTGTTCATATCAAATGAAGTTTCAAACGAAAATCTGATGCAAACTGAAGTAGAAATATATACGGAAAAAGTAAAGAAAAGCCCCTTAAAGTTCAATTTCTAAAAGTAAATTTAATATATGTCCATAGCTACAAATGTAGTTCCCCTACAAATGACAGAGTGACAATCAGTTTATAAATATTGTCTAACAATATTGACCTTGTACTTTATTAACTTCCGTAAAGGTAATTGGATAAACACTATATAAAGGAATATATCGGTTCGTTTGTTAACTCCACACGTCATTTAGGTATGGTGTATTGGTATGGATAACAGGCTACCGATCTGAAGGGATTGGTTCGGTTCCTATCAAATACGAGGTTGTGAAGGTTCAGATGTTTTTTTTATTTACTTACAACCATTAATTTATAATCATTTCACTACATCTGGTTTAGGAATACCTTCTTATTTGTGTTTTCCATACAATTATATTTTTATTTCATTACATTACCTTAATAAAAAGTACAACGCGTTTATGATTCAAATCGATGAACCGACTGTAAATTTCACTTGCAGTTTCTTTCATACTGCCAATACTGGTGGTTTCAAGGTTACAAGGATTAAAAACTGTACGAATTTACGTATAAATTCTTGAAGTGAAAAACACCACGCTAAGAGGGAATCTTAATTAAGACCATTTAACATATCGATTTACAAGTACATGTAGTTCGAAACGGTCACGGAATTTACCGTCAGTAGGGTAAAATGCAAGAGTGCAAGGTCAATATGTAAAGGAAATAGACCAAGTACGAGGTATTGAACATGTTATAGTTGGGGTTTCAAATAAAATGCTTTACAGGTTAAAATTTTAATTGTTAACGTTTTGCCTAAAAATAACAAAAATGTTGCATTTAACTCTACTTATCCATTTAGAAATAATAATTACAAATGCTGAAATTGTAATTGGTCTTTATTAAAATTAAATTGGTCTGTAATGGAAAAATCTCAGGATGAAGTGTTAAAAACAATGTTAATAGTATTTCGTATCAGACATTACACCAGACCTCGACAGACTTATGTGCATATAGTTATGTTGTTGGCAAGTGTGAGATATATGATCCGATATTGCATTTATTTATTTAGAAGATAATAAAGTGTTCACAAACAAAATAAAATTTTTCATCATATAAATTTTTGCACTAAATATATAAATCACTTCAAACATTTTTTTCAAGAAATATTCTGTTAAGAATACGCAAATAATACAGATATATTATTTACATCGACATTTGATATAATCATTGAAAATGTACAAATTGTAGACCAATCCATTTTTTGTTTGATATATGCTAACAGTATGATTGCATCAATGCAAGATGACGCTAACGTTGTTATGTAACATGCTTTGTAACTAAGCTCTAACTTCGGAGCTTTTCGAGCAACATTAGCTTTGACTATTCACCGCTTGAATAGAAAGATTATGCTCAAAGAGGGGGCTTTTAACGTGGATTTAACAGTTTGATAGATCCCGTGGGGGAATTTTACCAGGAACTTCGCTATAAGCTTTTAGTGGTAGTATCAAATGAATAACGTTTATCAACACATGACATTTTATATTTGAAATCGTTATAAGTATGTTATGATAACTTCTACAGTTTCACTTTTGCCATAGTGTGTACTTAAAAAATGCTAGAGGAACTGCTTTAATTATTATTACTTTGAAAAATAAATAAAATTAATAAACCTTAAATGTGCTTAAACTTTGATATGCTGCCTATTATTTTATTTAGTTTTTTATTAATTAATAAAGGCATATTGGAAGAAGAATTTGATTTCTGATTACTTTGAATGTTTTTTGTCTGCGCATAGGTAGGCCTATGTTTTCACGAGTTTAACATGATCGGATCTGTATAACAAAATCAGACCTGTGCAGTTGCAAATAATAGTTCTCATAATGGATTTTCGTTTGTATAAACAGGTCTAACTGAGAATTGTGGCAGGCAGATATGCACCAAATAGAATAGGCCTGAATCAAAGAAAATGTACATATCATTCTGTAGTCTTTGTCCGTTTTACGATGAACTAAGAAAGACTTTTATTAAATCTTATTATTACAGACGTCCAAGTGTTTACAAATCTGTAGAATTTATGCAATCCACGAATTTCAAAACAGTAAAGAATCTCGTTATTTATTTGTATAGGCCCTTTTCTGTAAAAGCAAGTCAAATTGTTTAGTTTTTCATGTCAATTATTCTATTTACTAGCAATTGTTATTCGCTTGGTACTCTTTACTTAATTAAGGTTGTGTATATTTTTTGTATTCTTACACTGAATTGCAACTTTATTTACATACCCACCCTCCTTCTCCGTGTAACAGGTGCGTGTGAGTGTGTGTGTTTTTCCCCAATGTTTTTTATGTATGCCATTGTTCTGTGATTGTAAATTTGTATTTATATATTATTTTTTAAAGTTTAGATTAATAAAGTATCTATTATATTGTATGGTTAGATTTCCTTGGGGTTTTGTATTATTTGGACAATGCAGAAAAACGTTTTCAAAAGTAAATAACTTGCTTTTAAATTAAATATCGAAAAATTTCAATGTCACTAACGCAATGGTAAATTGTTGGTAAAATTTTAGTTACATTCAATCAAGACACAGGTTTATCCAAAAATTTTTTGTAATATTTAAAGAGAAATATTTTTTTCCTTTTAAAAAATTATGTTTGTATTTTTTCTATTAATTTCTCATTTATTTTGTTTTAAATTTGCCCTATTAGCAAGTTGGTGCAAACCTATACGGAAAGCATACTGTAATAATTGTTTAAAATATATTAAGTTGGCACGAAAAAAGTGCACTGAAAATATATGATCCAATATTACATCACACTATAAAAATCAATTTCCCGGTTTTTAATTATTCAATATATTTAAAAACCCGGGCCTTTTTTCGAAGTTCATTTGCATCTAAGGTAAAATCCCCCCCCAACAAAAAATAGAGAAAGAAAAGACGAAAAAAGGTTAGACAACTTGTGGGACTCGAATTCAAGATAAAAATTTAATTTGTATGGATCCTATTGATTTTACCAAATTTGCCATTGAGACCTTTCAAATTGTTTTGTCTTGAATCATATTCGCTTCTAAATACCCTGTTTAACCTATTCAGACAAAAGTTTTAAACTTTTGTGTACACAAAAAATGTAACGTCACTCTCACATTATCATAGCGGCACAGTAACAAATGATTTTATACATGTCAGATTTTTTGTTTTTGTTTTACGTCACACCAATACATTATAGGTCAAATAGCGACGTTCTAACTTTACTGGTTGCAAAAAACGTCATATACATTTCTGTGCATTATTTTAAATTCGGGCGGGCATCTGAGTAGAAGTACCAAGTTTCTGTAGCCTATGACGTTGTGGCATAGCTATCCTCACATGGAAGGAAGTCAAAGCTCTATAACGATTCGAAAAGCCAACAACAGTGAGGAAAGAAATTGATTTGAAGGTCAAGCGATCTCAATGCCTTTGCTACGGAACGCCCTTATACAAATGTCAGATTATATTCTGATTTCAAAGATATATGTCGTGAATAAATTTTTTAAACACTTCTTTATGTGGCTTTCTTTCTATAAGATTCCTTGCTGGTTTATATTTGGTGAAAGTTAGGTTGTGTAGAAAAATTACTGTTACCAGTTGTATTACCAAGCGAGTATTGTTTGTAAATGATTACATTAGTATAGACGAGAAATATTACAGTGATTCGTAAATCAGTTGATAAACGTCATAAAAGTCATGACACTAACTGTTAGCATTGCCTTAAAAAGTTAGTAAATGGGATATGTTTCTCCTGCAGGTATGTCAGATACCAAATTGTGTAATTGGAAATCAGTAAATTTAATTTTGATATTCAATTTGTTTTAAAGATTTAATATACTTGGCTAGAAGGTAGCGTGGTGGGCAACGGTTTTCTTTTCAAAGTATCGTTAAACAGGCAAAAACCAAACCGAGCGCCTGCCACAATTTTAGTTGCCGTATTGGAAGTTCGTTTGGTTTCCATAATTTCACTATTTTTAATTGTAAAGCTAAACAACTTCATATGCACTTTACTTTATGCCCAATACTCTAAATTCATCATAATTATATTTCTTTGGTTTGGTAATCTACTGGTACCTAAAATTTTTAAACACATACCTTTAATTCACGTTTTACTTAAAATATATTAATCTTTTTTGTTTGGCAT